GACAATCGGGTCGATCAAGTTAGTGCTTAGTTGATAGTCATTCTGTTTTAAAATGGCTGCCAGCCTGGTAAATAGTGCAGTTGGAAAGGAGCCGCCGTTCAGAAAGGATCTGAGTCCGGAAACAGAGGAATATCTATTGTTAGAAGCCTTTACCAAGGAACGGCTGATAAAGACAAGCTGGAAAATGCTTAGCGGGTGCTGTGGTGATTTGTGAAATTTGAAGATTAGCCATGGCGCTATAATTACTTGTAATTCCAGCTTGTGTGTATGTAAGTGGTCAACAAATCCATTTACCAATCCAAACCCCTTCTATAGTCACACATACACGTGACAATATCATGACAACTGCGCCAGTCTCAATCGCATCAGTCTGCATGTCTGAATTTGTATCTCTCTCATTGTTGCTAGGTAGCAGCTCGACAAAATATGTCCCTCATACCGTTGCTAAGCAACAGCTCGTTAACCGCTCAACAGTATAAGAAATGTTGGACGCATCGTCTCCTATGCGGTCGTTGTTTTATCACAGGAAAGCAGGTGATTAGTTTTTATACAAGCAATGGGATACAAAATCAACAGAACGGAGGTCTCTTAGAAGAGAGAAATTTTCTTCCGTAAGGTTGGCTACTGATGGTATGAACCTCAGAGATGTTTAAGACAAAAGATATCAAATGTTTTTAACTTTGGTAAAAGTCTGCACGTGAAATGAATGATGGAGCAACTGACAGAAGTTTGGCCGATAGATGTGAGGGGCGTATTGTAGCCAGGAGTTTGACAGCTCGCGTTCATCATGCTCCGAGAATGGTATTGGCAATTCTTTCTTGAGACGGATAACTAACCTCAAGATGTGAAATTTTTTAAGAATGGGAGCAAAGTAAAAGAAATATTTTATCAATACCGAATATTTGCCCCGTGTGTCATGAAATTTGAGACAACTTTTAAAGTATGATTTCTGAGACAAAATTTCTTAACATCGCAGCTAATTTTAAATTCGCTTAGTGGGGGTGGAGTCCAGTTGGGTCCACTCGGCACGGTGGCCACTGATCGGCCTATTGTACCTGCCCCGGGTGATCGTGATGAAGGAGAATTTGGTGGAATGAAGATTAGCAGGGGAAACCGAAGTACTCGGAGAAAACCCGCACCAGCGCCACTTTGTCCACCACAAATCCCACTTGACCAGACCCGGGCCGCCGCAGTGGGAAGCCAGAGACTAACCGCTTGAGCTATGGCGCGGCCATCTCGATACGTATTCTAGAGTTCCACAAATCCAGCATGACCCGGACTCGAACCTGGGTCGCCGCGGTCGAAAAGCAGAGAGTAACTGCCTCTGTTTTTGGCATGGCCCTTTTGTTAGTATTCTATTTATAGCATTCGATGGGAACGAAAACTATCCTGCCGGAGACTCAGTTCAATGTATGTATTTTCTTTATCTTTCCGCAAGGTTGTGTCTCATGTATCACAGAGTTTCAGTTCCTTTAAACCGCTGAACTAATCTCTTTCACAAAATTTACGGAAAAAATAATCCAGTATAAGAATTTTCAAAAGTAGAAATATTAAGTTATCTCTGCGCTTTGCTAATTAATAACAATGACGTGTGGGGGAGTGGAGTTATAGCTCCAGTCTTAATATCGATACTACATGGAGGTCAGTAGCTACCTTGACGCTCTGCTTGATTTACCAATGCAGAAGGAGCCCTCAGTACCCACTGGATAGAAAGCTGCGTGGGCCTTAGAGGCAGTCTTGACACCGTGAAGAAAAATCTGTTGCTACTAGTTGGAATCGAACTTCGATTACTCGGTCATTCAGCCAGTAGATATAATGACTTTTCCCAGATCCATATGAAGGTTTAATTTTGTGTAAAATTTAAAATGATTTGTTTAATTTTGTGTAAAAGGTGAATTGTGGTTATCTCATGCGGTCCACACGCAGACAATATGTTAGATGGAAACGCACAGGAAGAAAAACGAACAAAGAGGAAGAGAAAATGAAGAAATAAGAGAGAAGCGAGACGTGAAAAAAGAAACGTAGGTGGACAATGGCTTATATTCTGTCCTGTAACAAAACACACAAGAAAGAAACTTACTCCCAATTTCGCGAAAAAATAGGATTTCCTGGGGTCGCAGAATACGCGCCTCGTTCCCACAGGCCCAGTGCTTGTTCCCTGTGCTGTGACCGTCCCTTTACGTCATGTCCGATATAAAGAAGAAAGAAGAAGGTTGTTTGCTCGGTGTATGTTTTATGCCGTAGCCAGAAGCATCAAAGCACAGATGCAGTAACCGCGGTAACAAACACTTTCACCTCCACGAAGTAGCGGTCTTATCAGATACTGAGAATATACTGACCTCTGAGGTTGATCCGATCCAGGACAGTAAACATAAAACCGTACGACGCTATACGACACGGATCGAACCGTGCATGACAATATGGTCACCGTGGCGAGGCAAACGTGGGATGGAATGACATGCTTCGCGTTCATACTACGAAACAGTGGACTTCTGGTATTGAAATTAACTAAAAATTTCAAGATAATTTTAAAGCATTTAAGTATAGTTTCGGTCCCTAAACAGAAACATATTTCAGGTGGCTGTCATGTGTATTAAAAAAAGGATTTATTTCGGTAATTAAGACGACGAAAGAGGCTATGTTTATGGCGAGAGAACTGACTTTATTACTTACTTACTCATGGAGCTGAGCCCTTATTGACGAGCCGCCAATTCTGCAGCTACTCAAGAATTTGCCTGCATTTTATGGAACCCGAAGGTTCATTACCGTGTTCACAAGAGTCCTCCACTGGTCCCTCTTCTGAGCCAGATCAATCCAATCCATCCCATCCCATCCTATCTCTCTAAGATCCATTTTAATATTGTCCACCCACCTACACCTTGTTCTTCCCAGTGGTCTCTTTCCTTCTGGCTTTCCCACCAATATGCATTCCTCGTCTCCCCCATTCGTGCTACGTCCCTTGTCACCACGGCATGGCGCGTCCTCAGGTTGCGGATGGAGGAGACGCCATCCAGGCATGGAGGGAAGCTGCGAATGTATTGAATAAGCAGTGGCGGAAAGTCGACAAGGGGTTGTCCTCCAGCTTCGGGGATGGGCGTGGGGCTATCAAATCCTCACCGTAAAAATAATTATATTACGAAAATGAATACAAAGCCTCGGACCTGGACGGATTCCTTGGATAAACGACCTAAGCTAAAGAACTGACTTTATTATTAATTAAAATTTCGCCTCAGATTTGTCATAATTTACGAAAAATTTACGAACAGTTTACAACTAGTAATAGAAGGCACAGATCATGTTTGCTGAAGAGTAACCTTTCGGAGCAGTGTGATTGCTAGATTTAGAGCCTGCTTTTGACTTTAAGGGAACTCCCAATTTTGCCTAGATGCCACAATTTCTAGAAAAATCAAAGTGAAAGGAAGCAGAAGAGATATAGTAAATATTAATTTTACAGTCAGCAGACCCTCCACATAAATTGGGATTCATGTAACAGCTTCAGTATGCATATTACGAGTGAAACCGACGTATGTACTTAATTCCAGAACCCGTGTTATTATGTGTACAACATAGAGTCAATGCAGTGACTAAAACAGATATATGAAATCTAGGGTACATTTCGGATTTAGTTCAAGGATTTAAAATGGTTCGTGGACACACGATAGCGCAGTTGGTTGAGGCACTATGCTACAAGCCGGAGGGTCGCGGTTTCGAATCCCGATGAGGTGATTTTTTCAGTTTACCTAATCCTTCCAACTGCAATATGGCTCCGGGCTCGACTCAGCCTCTGACAGAAATGAGTATCAGGAGTCTCCTGGGGGGTAAAGGCCTGCCGGCGCGTAAGGCTGACAGACTCACCGCCATCTGTGAGCCGATTGTCTAGAAAATGTGTGAACCTCGACGTCTCACAATCCTATGGGTCTCCACGGCCTGTTACAGGGACAGCTTTACTTTACTTATGTAAAATGGTTGTTCATTAAATTTTACTGTCTTAACATAATAATCCCAAGATTAGAGAAAATAGAAACATTCACAGGGGACTACAGGCTTTACCCTCTGTACCTATACACTACAGCAAGGAAATGTTCTCGTACAGTCTTACACTGTAGCCAAAATACTTTATAGAAATCTGTACGGTATAAAATATGCATAATCGTATTTGGAGTAATGACCAAATCTGCGATATGGGAATTCGCTGTATAACAAGATCTTAATTTATCTATCCTCAGTATTCAAGGGTGTTCCAAAATAATATCATTAAATGTAAGTTTGTATGAATAAATATTCGGTTTACTCCTCCCATTCCCTGGAAACAAATCTATAATCAGCCACCTTTGTACTCATGTTTAATTTATATTTACACAGGTAGAGGGTGAGTCAAATTATTGTCGTGGTTTTCGTGGCCTAAATTTTAAACCGAAAATAACAAATGAAACTGCCAACGGAACATGACAATTTAACTCAGAACGTTTTATTCGGCAATGCTGTACTCGCCTCAGTGATGTCTGGCAGGAAACATGACGTCATACTTCAAAATGTGCGTNATGTCTGGAAGGAAACAGGACGTCATACTTCAAAATGGGCGTATCCCCCCCCCCCGAAACAAAGTCCGTTATCGAAACTCAACATCATTACAGAACTCAATATGAAGAAGATTTATCTTCAGATAATGCTACCGACGTTGGTTAAAGCAATTTCAAGAGACTGGAATTGTTCTGCACCGAAAATGAGCAGGAAGACCGAACATTTCTTAGGAAGATTTTGATCGAATCGAGGAAGCTTGGAAGTCTTACGTGTTAAGAAGTTGTTTATTTGAAGTTGAAGTTATTTAGCATTTTGAAGCGTTTATTCTAGAAGTAATAAAACATTTTGAATTACATTTTCATATCCCTTAAGCAGTTTATTTTAGTATGTCCGATTTGAAGACTACATACAGGCCACGAAAGCACCGACAATAATTTAGAATAAATCCCGTATATTTAAGCTTCTTCGCTATAACTTACCGGCATCATCACGCGCTGGCAGGATGATCGTGTCATCTCGATACCATGACGTCACTGTGACGTAGTCCTTAACAAATGCAGGTATGACGCAGTGGAGAACAGCTGTGTTACCCAGCAGGACGTGTGCTCTATACACTTGCACTTCATAGCTCTGTCGCACCACTGGAAGCAATAAGGAAATGCTTTAGCGAAGGGGAAGGCAAAAACACTGTAAAAATGAGTATGTATTTATATCTGTCGTCACAACAATTCATTTAAAAATACTAACATAATTAGTTAATATTTTATGTTAGTGTTTTTACATGAACTGTTGTGTACACGGATATAAATATGTACTCACTGTGAATGACACACAATAGCATGCAACACGCAAACAAAAAACACTGTGTTTGGGGTCACGGTTATGTCTGACGTAAATTCAAAAGAACAAAATTTCACTGTAATACAGATACTAACACAGTAGCTTCGTAGTCGATAGGCCCTTGGTTCCATTCTGGGTTCTTAATGGAGAAAAGTACTCTAACACCTCATAATTGGCGTAAAGGTTGCATCTGGGAGGAGCTTGGTGAAGCCTTGAACTTTATTTTCAAGAGAGTATACGGCGATATAGAACTGTGGAGAGGCAGTCGATATATTCCTCCGAAACGTCGGTTGACTTTTAAGAGGCTACACGACGTTATCAATCCTCAAGATAGAGGCGACATGTTCCTCCCAAACGTCGGATCATTTTCAAGGGAATGCACGGTGTTATATGACGCTGGAGAAGGAGTCGATATGTTCCTCCGAAACGTCTGTTCACTTTTAACGATATACACGGCGTTATCGATCCTGAAGATGGGGGCGAAATGTTCCTCCGCAACGTCTGTTGACTTTCAATGGGCTACACGACGTTATCGACCATGAAGATGGAGGTGATATGCTCATTCGAAACGTCGGTAAACTTCCGGTGGTCTACACAGCGTTATCGAACCTGAAGTTGGAGGCGAATGTTCCTCCGAAACGTCGGCTTACTTTCAAGGGACTACAGAACGTTACATCCCAAAAAGACAGAGCTCTTCATAACCACCACTGTGAGAACCTCAGTTACTATAAGTGAATATAGCCTGTTTCAGTGGCGGCTCCTACCTATCACAGGGCTACACAGCGTTATCGAACCTGAAGTTGGAGGCGAATGTTCCTCCGAAACGTTGGGTTACTTTCAAGGGACTACAGAACGTTACACTCTGAAAAGACAGAGCTCTTCATAACCACCGCTGTGAGAACCTCAGTTACTTTATGCGAATATAGCCTGTTTCAGTGGCGGCTCCTTCCTATCACAGGGCTACACAAAGATGATCTCCATGTATAATACCCGGCACCCAAACAGCATTACGTCTCCAATAAAAGTACAAAGGGCTACCGCCTCGCTGATCTGCTCGGTCAACAGTAAATTGATATAATCTTCATGTTTCAGGAGATTGATTCACTTGCTTCTAGCAAATGGCGGAACTGTGTCTCAAAGTAAACAACTACAGGGTGAATCGTATAGAACCGCCCGATGAATTTGCTAATAATTCCGCAGGTGATGCATATAACCGCTCACAATTACGACATAATAATCCGTGGGCCGTGCTGAGTCGAATGGTGTGCGCATGATCCAGCAAGTGGCAGCCCTTATGCTGCAAGGTCAAGGACAATGCCGAAACGTGTCTGCAGTGCGCAGGCGACAGTCATGGAGTTCACTGTTGAACAGCGAGTGTTTCTAATGCCTACTTGAAAACGGCGGACACTTTCAACACCTGCTCTGATCACGGCACACAATCCAAGATAAGATATGTGTAAATTACTTTAATATCTGTATGGTATATTTTATATTACACCTCATTTCGTCGCGCCGGTTCTATATGAATCACCCTGTAGAATCGGTTTCCTAATCCTGGTCCATGGCACTTAAAGTCGCAGACATCATTAAGGCAACAAAAGCGGACTGGGGCCTGTCAGTACAACGGCAATGCCAACCTGAGAGACCATTAAAAATCCATTGCCTTTGAGGGATTATATCTTCGCAAGTGACATGCCTTTGGGGTGGAGTGTGTAGGCCTGAACATGAGTCAGTAACCAACCGGTTACAATGCTAACAAGAATGAACTATTTTAGAAAAATACCAACGTAACCTTGACAGCCACCCGAAGCGGTAGTCCTTCCGACTCACTAATATCATGCGAATGCGAGTTAATATAATTCCATATTTACTGTATCATTTGACTTGACAGCCAGTCGCTATACCGACTGAGCTATCCCGGCTCGCAGTATCAGTAATTCTAAGCAAAAAAGTGTATATGTACATGTGTCCTATTCCAACAGTTTCCGAGATAGAGCTATTTCATTGTACATTGTACAGACGAGCAACACGCCATGTCCTAACACGAGGTGCAAAATTCTTTGATGTTGACGGTGGAATTTTCGAAAATATATTATGCTAGGTAAACTGTACCAACTCTGTCGCTTGAACAATAAATATCGGTATTAGGAGCCGGGATAGTGCAGTCGGTATAGCGACTGGCGACGGGCTGGACAACCGAAAAATCAGAGTTTGAGTCCCGGTAGGGTCAAGAATTTTCACTTCTCCATGTCGTCCAGACCGACCCTAGGGTTCAACCAACCTCCTATACAACGGGTATGCGGGTCTCTTTCCTGGGGGTAAATCAATCGGGACGTGAAGCCGGCCACTCACATCCAACTAGTGCCGAAGTAAAGAAAATGTGGCTCTATACATCCACTCCCGCTTAAGTCTTCAAGGCGTAGTGCTTAATTAATTAAGCACAGCGACAACTTTACCTTTTATTACGTACGTAATATATCTATCTTATTAACAAATTTGGAACTGTGCAGTGAAATAGCTCTATCTCGGAAACCGTCTGGAATAGGATACATGTACATATATATGTTTGCTTAAAACAATGACTTTTCTTCCTGGGACACCTGCATATGATCACAGATAGCAGATCGTAACAGTAATTGCGTGTGAACTTCTCACTGGCGCATTAACACCGGAAGTGTGTTGGCAATAGGAACTAGTAACTTTATAATGACGGTCTACCTCACTCACTAATGACGAAGCCTCATTTTTCTTACAGTAGATGGGGTATAAACTACAGTCGACCTTAGGTCGCGGGGTTTCTGAAGGGATACTCATCAAGAGGTCGACAGGGAACGACAGAATCTCCTCACTCCGGGATGGGGAACAATCCTTTCATACTTTCAGATGTCTGTCTGCTACAGTGCTGCTGCTGGCGGGAGTCTTCATAAAGTGCGAAGCCTTACAAAGGAGGCCAAGTGCCCTGGGGTGGGTGAATCATGTGCAGAGAAGGCTAGATGAAAAGTCTGTTTTCGTCTTCTCTTTCGTCCGTTTTCCTTATCCTCCAGACACTGATCTGCCCAGGGTTTGTGGGGAAAGAGTAGAAAGCAAGTGTGGACAGAGATTGTTGCATGTTACACTCTTACGCTCCGTGGCAAGACACGCAGATCTGATTGGTCTATCGCAAGAGTGGGAAAACTGTGGTTGGCACACTCAGTAACCGCTAAACTTTAAAGGGTGATCACCAGGGCCCGAATTTTGATGAGCTGAAAATATTTTAAAAAAATGACCGAAAAAAAATCCAGAAAAATTACCTAAAATATGACCCAAAAATGTAATATGCAGGGCCCGGATTTTGATGACCTGAAAATATTAAAAAAAAATGACCTATAAAATGACCGACAAAATCCAGAAAAATGACCTAAAGGAGAAAAGAAAGAACATTTCGCTTCCATGTTATTCACATTTCAGAAAACATATGAAGAAAAATTACCTAAAATGGGCAAAAATGACAAGAAATAAACTTAAAAGTCCACAAATTTACCAAAATTGCCCCTAAAATGAAAAAATTACCTTAAACCTAAAAATGTCAAAAAATGACAAAAAATTACCTATAAAATTTACATTTCTGTAACCAGCAGCTCATATCCGAGATTTATATATTTAAGAGCACCGCACAGAATACAAGGAAAAAAAGATGACATATCATCAAAATCCGGGCCCTGGTGATCACAGTGGCCGCGCGGTCTAAGGCATGAACTCTCTTCGGGATCGTGGGTTCGAAATCCTACTCAAGACATCGATGTCTGTGTTCGGTAACGGCCTTGCGACGGACTGATCCCCCGTTCAAGGAGTCCTACCGACTGTCTTAGATGAAGAAACTAAAGTGAAAAGAAGCGTTACACGGTTGCCCTGTGCACCAATTGGGAGCAACGGAATAGAAGAAGAAGAAGAGAGGGCCTTTAAGAGTTCGTCTCCTAAATAGACTAATCTGAAGAAAGCAGTCTTCTGGGACGTGGCACCGTGTAGCAGACCAGTCTGCTTGTACCGGTTGTCACGGTCTATTCGCTTGCGGATTTCTTATTCTTCCTTCTACCCTGAAGATGGAGGCGATACGTTCCTCCGAAACGTCGGTTAACACCACATCTACACGGTGCCACAACCCAGAAGACTGCCTTCTTCATAGTAACCGCCGTGAAAACCTCAAATCTTACATAGATTAATCTGCTTTGTTTATTCTGTTATTTTATAACCCTGTACCGTCTGTTGACGTTTATATTCCTAGTGTCTTGTGTTCAATAACGCAGTATGACACATTTCCATTTTAACAGTTAAAGCTTGTTCACATTTAAAGACTAAACAACCAAATCTAGAAGCAAGGGAGCCATTTTATATTATTTATATTTCAAAAAGAGAGTTCAATAAAGCTGTTCTCCAAAAGTGTGTACAATATTTTCGAAATGCTGACAAGTGGACAGATAGGAATCACCTCCCATTTACGCGTTCACTTACATTTTCCGCAACAGACGCAAGAAAACAGTAACGGAGTTGGGTTTGGGACTCCTAAAGTGATAACTATGAATAGTACTATCTTCTACGATGAGACGCCGTGTAACCTGGTAAAATTTGTCGGTGATTAGAAGTAACATACTGCCTCTACCTAAATGATCAAAGGCAAGTAGCAAGAAGACTGCTCACTAACGCAACTTGTTGCTTGTTTGTCGCTCGATTTTTGTTAAATATATTTTTTTCCCAGAAGATGGAATCAGTATTTTGTTTTGAAACGTCCGTGTACTTCTGGCAGACTGTACAGTGTAACATCCTG